TAGAAACGCCATCAGCTATCGACAGACAACATAGACAAAATGACTGGGTGGCGAACTAAGAGGGGGCTATTCCCTGATGGCCTTCCAGAGCTCTGTGTAGTGCTCATGCTCACCTCTCCACACAGACACCACTTGGCGCTGAAGCCACGAAACACCACAGAGACTGCTGTAACCATGGAATGCTATAGGCTCCAGAGCCTATGACCCAACTCCTCAGACTTCACAGAAAGTGAAAGAATTATCAACTTAGTGCTGTCTGGCTACAAACACCAACTTAATGTGCAGTAAAAACAGAATAAGAAAATACAAGTGAATATATATCTAAGCATCTACTTTGAAAATGTATTAGCATTTCTTACTTGAATACAGAGACTACAACCTTATTTAACAAATACTAAAGAATTAACAAAATACTCAATTTCCTAATCATCTCAATACTCTAAATCTCCAAGGAGCTGGGCAGATTATTAAGTGAGAAGGTTAAAATGATTGGCTTTAGAGAAAAGAAATGCAAATGGGTTTCCAAACCTTCATGTAGTAAGCCCCAGTATTGGCCACTTGACACACATGCACAGCGTGTGCTTAACACCCACTCTAGCATATCTCTCATTAAGACAACATCATGCAAAACATACCGCACTGGGGTTGTGAGGTTATTGGGACACGGAGAACTTGAACTTTTATATTTCCTGACTTGGGCAGGCTAGGTGGCTGGGGGAACTGAGCTAAAATTTTCTACTAATGTTATCTCAAACCAGGTTTCTGCATTTTAAGTTCATGGAAGGTCAGATGGGGGAGATTCTCTAGGATTAAGGCCAAAAATGAAAACCAACTTTTCTGCAGTTCACAGCAACTGACAATCAGGTGACTGGAGTGTCAAAGGTCACACACTTCTTTCTAAGCAGAATCAGCCTGAATTCCTGCTGTTCAGGGCTTTGCAGAGAAAGAAATACTGAATTTTTATCTTATCAGATGGGGGAAGCATTCTACCACTAAGTATGTCCCCAGTCCAAGATTTAGGAAATAATGCATTTTGTCCAAAGCAGAAAATCATTTTAAAAATCGGTATCTAAGTTTAAAAAAGTAAGCAGTACAGACTTCCAGGATTTGCTCTGTCACTGAGGGAGCAAACTAGTGTCAGAAGCTAAGGTAGTCAGACCGAAGACTGCCTATGAATAAGCATCTGGGTTACCAATAGCAAGTTTTACAAACTACTCAAGCTTTCTCTTGCTTTTTTTTTTTAACCCAAAACATTAAGAATATTTATCTTGGGGTTGGAGAGATTGCTCAATGGTTAGAGTACTGGCTAATCTTCTAAAAGACCTAGGTTCAATTCCTAGTGCCCACATGGCATCTTACAACTCTGTAATTCTAGTTCCAGAGGTTTCAAAACCATCTTCTAGCTCTGCAGGCACTGTGTGCACCTGGTATACAGACATACAAACAAGCAAAATACCCATGCATATACAATTAAAATAAATAAATCAATCTTTTCTAAAAACGATCTATGTTAAAAATAAATAAAATAAAAAAGGATGCTGACTTCCTGGTTATGCACATTAGTTGATGGTATAGAAAGTGAAGGTTCATCATAACCTCCTCTTATTTAGTGAGTAGTAAAGACAAGAAACCCTAAATGAATTAGATCAGGAGGAGGTAAGCATTCCAACTGCCAACTTCAGGTAAAGCATTTGATTCTATCATGGAATCACAATTACTGTTACAGTCTGAATGCCTCTTCTCCTAATGTGTTTATTGGTAGCTAAATTCCTAAATCTGTCTCTCAGTACTGCACTGGGGGATAGGCCTGGTATAAAGTGGTCATGGGTGTAGAGCCTTCATGAATGTCTCAAGCACTTGGCTGTCCTTTCATCTCTTCTATACACACATGCACTCTTTCTGTCTTTCCACCATAGTATTATGAAGCAGCACAAGTCTCAACAGATGTGACTGCCCAATCTTGGACTTCAAGCTTCCTGAACTGTGAGATAAAACTTACTTGTTTTCTGTATTAATTACCCAGTCTCAGATGTTCTGGTATAGCAACAGAAAAGAGATGAAGACACTCAATCACCTTCACTGGCAATAGATAAACAAAACTTAAGCTGTGACCCAAACTTATTTCCACAATCATTCCTGTAACTCTGAAAATACTTACGGCAGCAGACATAGATCTATACTTTTCAAAGTGCCTAGAGTTCACAGAGAAATGCTCATGTACACATGATTTTGCCTCTCCAAATCCTTGAGATGGATGTTTTCAGATGAGAGAATTTAAGTGTAGACTAGTTAAAATGACTACGGTAAGCAGGACTGGTTCTAAATGTGGGACTTTCTGACAGCTGTCTTATTCACTTGTCTATAACGCAGGACTGTCAGTGCCTATATTAGATCACTGTTGTGGAGGATGAAGATGGCACTTAGCTCCTAGAAAAGCTAAAATCTTACAGCTGCTCAACGACCAGGGGCCATGTGTCCTGACAGCATATGCTCAGGATAGGTTACAGCTTGACTCCTGCCAATCAGGTATAGACACATTCAACAGCATGGTCGAATCATGGTTAGAGATGAGAGCAAAGCAATCATTCCAAAAATAGTCACCAAAACAAGGGCAAAAGATTGCTGTGGTCTTCGGAGAAAGGCAGTGCCTCACTTCCTTCCGCAGGGACCATGCCCTTCCAACCACTTCTGTTTCTTGACACGACTGGTAACCAAGGAGGTTCTCTAAAGTTGCTGCTTCTCCTTCTAGTGTAGCTTACTACTTTGTTTTCCTAGTAAAATCTTGCCTCTCCCATTCTGAGTCTTCAAGTCTCACCTCTTTGAAACATCAAAAGTCAGGGCAGAAACACTCCCTGGCCTGAGCAGAGCATGTTTGTACCTACTTCCTATGTACTCACTACTTTCCTGGTCTAACTCTATTTCCTCTGTCCCCTGTCTGGCTACCCACTTAACTGTAGGCCTACCCTAAGACTCCTGCAATAGGTATGTCTTAAAAGGTTACAGCCTGATCCATGATTTCTCTGTTCTCTGGCAGAGAAGACAGGGATGGCTGACATTTCAGCATCTTTTAAAGAAGCTTGTTAGTTGGGCCAGGAAACACAAGTATACAGTCTGTCTCACTGACACAGATGTGTATGCACTAGCACTTGTGCACGATGGAAGACAAACCCTGTGGTCTTCCAGACTCAAAATTACCATTTGAATCTGAGGCACTTTTGATGAAACAGTAACATATAGTTCTAGTAGAGCTGTCATGCTGGCCCCCAACATCCAGGCCAAGATGGCCAAAGAATCAGAGGCCAGGTTCAGTGGGATTTGTAAAATGATGGAGTTCCTAGTATCTCAGTCTGCAAGGGTTAAATGCAGGCCTACGAAACTATTACCGATTAATGCTAGACCTAATTTGGGATCAAAGGTGCTTGTTGCACTTATAACTGGCTCCAATGCTCCATCCCAGCCTATCAAGGCTGCACCATTGCTCAGTGTGAATGCTGCCACTGAGGTGAGCTATAATTTTGAATCTCTCTTAAATGATTAAAGTGACAAATAAGACCCTGTGAGGCAGGTTGGTGGACAAAGATGCTTCTGCAGAAGCCTAAAACCTGAATTAGATCACTGGAACCCAGAATGAAAGAAGAAACAGGACTCTGGAAGTTGTCCTTTGACATAAGTGTACAGAATGACACATACATGCCCACACTCATGAACAGACATTAAACTAAACACACACACGGAAGGAAGGAGGGAAGGAAGGAAGGATGGAAGGAAGGAAGGAAGGAAGGAAGGAAGGAAAGAAGGAAGGAAGGAAGGAAAAGAGAAAATAAATTATAGGCATATATTTTAGAGGGTAAAAAGATAAACAGGGCTAAAGTGATGTCAAAGATTTATTCAGTATGAAATCACAACAGACTGGCCATGGTAAGCAAGACAGAGGAGGTCACTCTGCTGTTTGGTCAGGCTTTGGGTCTGTACTGTCTGTCGGGGTGGGTAAACACATACACTGCATGTGAACACAGACCACTTGCAATGCAGATGGATCAAAGAGAAAAGAGATGTCAGGGACGAAAATGCATACCAGACTGCTGTGACAGTATGAGGCCAAGGTTATGAACTATCTTGGAAATTTTTATATTTAACATGTATATTTTTACATAGAATAACCACATTTTAGATACACTGGGTTAAAAAATATTAGAACTGATTTGCCTATTTCATTACTTGGGTTTTGGGTATTGGTTGGCCTTCAAGGACTTCCACTTCTTGCTTAGGACAGTCTCCCATTGGCCTAGGATTTCACCTCATGGGCTAGCCAATCTCTCTGATGAGTTTCCAGAGATTTGCTAACACCTCTGTGGATCAGAACTCAGGTCCTCAAGCTTGCAAGGGCAACACTTTACTAAGCCACCTTCTCCACACTTCACGTTTTGTGTGTATGTGTGTGCCTGTGCATGTACATGAGTACATGTATGTGGAGGTCAGAGGTTGATGACCAGTGTTTTCTGTATGTCTCCCTGAATCTGGGGCTCAATAATTTTGCTAGTCTCTCTGAGCAATGAACTCTGAGGATCAATGTATCTGTAGGTTCCTAGCCCTGAGGTTATAGGTATGTGCCTGTGCTAGTTTGTACATGGATGCTGGGGTCCTGAATTCTGGTCCTCAGGCTTGGATAGCAGGCACCTTACTGACTGAGCCATCTCCCTAGACTTCAGGTCTTAGAAAGAGCCTTCCTGTGGACACCAATCCTTCATGTTTCACAGTAGGACTGGAAAATAATGAGGTGCCTCCAGCCATAGTTTGCCATTGGCTTAGCCAGTTTTGATTTCTGCAGACTCACACGGGGAATAGGAGCCACGCGGGGACACCAGCAACTTCACAGATGCTCACAGTGTTTACTCTTTTGCTTCAGAGCCCTGTGTTTGCATTTCAACTGGCCCAAGAACTGCTGCAATGCACACTGCAGTGGTTTTTAATTTCTCCAAATAACACAGAAAAAAACTTACATGTTTTGAGATGGTGAGTCCGCTGCTGGAATACACAGGTATTTAACTCCCTATAGAAGGATAAAAAATACATATGTATATAAACAAATAAAACTAAAACACAGTAAAGTATTTGAAGGAACCATTTACTCAGGTCAAAAAAAAAAAGCAAGAAAATAAAAAGGAGAAGTTTTTATTCATCTTTTGTTGCCAAGGAACTAAGGAAAAACTTTTTAATTCAGGTTCCTGATTCTCTTCCATGGACATGCCAATACTCACACTTTGATTTGCAAGCAGCAGATATTTGAGCACTTCAGTGTTAAAGCTCACAGTCCATCTAAGCCCCTGTTCTCATACTTTCTGTTTCTTTTGGATCCTGAATACCCCAAAAGGATGTACTCTTAGTCAACACCTTAAAAAGGGTTGAAAACTATGATGTCATGTCATATTCTATGTCCATTTTAATGCTGTAAGAATTACAATTCCACAACTAGGCCTTTGAAACCTGGAAACAATGCTGCTTGCTTTGAACAACATTAAAAGCTTGCATGATAAACTAATCTGAGGGGGAAAAATCTCCCCAAAGTAATGATTTTAAATCATGCTAAACTGGAGTTTTATTAAAAAACAAAACTGGTTTACTACTCTACAGGAAAGATAGACATTGTAGTTCTTAAGTTTTCCATGTCGACCAGCACAGGGCACACAGATCTCATCAACCTTGCCAATGGAATATGGTAAAGGATAGATGAACCATTCATGAATTTTCTTTTATATCTGCTAAACATAACAGAATTTTGTCACTATGTCTTGGCCAGCCAGAGAGAAGAACCAGTTAGTGTGAGAAGTCAAATTGATGCACAATAATGATACAGATGTAGTCAAGTTCCCTGGGAGAGGAAGTTAAAAAACAACCTGCTTTTTAGATTTACTTGAAATCTTTCTGTAACTTTCAGTGTTGATCTGGTCACCCAGGAGGGTCACTGAACTAGACAGCTACAGTACAGGCATCTTGCCGACCCACTCTGATGCTTAGGTGCAGGCTCAGGACCAGGCCTTCTAGCTCTGGTAAACTTACAGAAGGCAAGTTCTGAACTAGCAAAAGGGACAGAGCATGGCAGCCCATGCTTTTCTGGTACAGGTGGAGGCAGAACACACTGGACAGTTGTATAATGAGAAAGATAAGCTTGTCCTGGGACTTTAGCATAGAACCCATTTCTCCAGCTCCTATGGGCAAATTATAAGCCTCCAACTGCTTCTTAATCTTCCCCTTTCTGCTGAAGCTGCTTCAGAGTATTGGTATGTGGTCAACAATAAATACCTGAATGGTATATCGCTCTCCCTTGCCATTTGCCATTATCGGGAGACAGCATCATGAGAAAAGAACTAAAAAATAAAAAGCAAATTTTCCTCATTTCTGTGTAGCTTTTCAAACTGAAAAAAGAGTCAAGTTATTTAATCATGATTTGAAAGAAAATCATTACATACAGCAATTATTGCATCTTTCCATATAGGTTTCTGAGTCTTTGGGAAGATGAGTTTATCTAAATAGAAACATTTAAACCAAGAGCAAATGGACTTTGCCAAGAATGGAGGATCTATCTGCTGGCAGGAAAGGGAAGGGAGGAGGTGGGCTCTCTCTTATGTGACTACAATTGGCAGCCAGACCCTTCTGCTTCCCTTCAGGTTTCCTGGGCTCCTGAAGCTGTGCTATGGGGAACATTGACCAGTTATTTTGAACATTTAAAGCTCTTACAAACCTGGTGGCATATGAGAGTACAATTTGCAGGGTATAAGACACTAGAAAAAGAAGCACTGCTGCCAAAAAGTCCTTTCCTTCCTCTCTTTCACTGAGATGAACAAGCCGGTTGTTGAATCCACACAACCATTGCTTCCTACAGCTCCCATGGGAGTGTCTCTTTTTTGGCTGAGTGAGATCTGACAGTTAGGTGGTCAGGCCCAAAGCTTGTGAAATCCTTCCCACAACTTCTTCCATCCTCACGGCAGGCCGTACTTCCAGAAGACAGGATTCTCAAGTGTACTACTGCCACCTCAACCTGGCAACCCCAAACAGACAAAGGGCTAAGTGGACCCTCCAGGACAACACAGAAATGCCTACCTCTCCCTCATGTTGATGGAGAGCCACCACATTCTAGTAGAATCTAAAGTCAGTCCAGCCTATGTACTGGGAAGATAAACAAAAATAAAGAATGAAGAGAGTGAACAGAGGTTAGGTCAAATAGCGTTTTGCCTACTGAGAGCATATGTTCTGAATACTTGTTATCAGGGTTAGTGGAACTCATTGTGTTTCCTATAGGCTATGCCAAATAGCGCCACATTTACCTCTGTGCTACCTGATGCACAGAAGGAAATAAGCTTGGGCCCATAAAGTAGAACATGCCCAATACTCAGGAAAATCAACCAGCCATAAGAAGCAGGTGGAAGGCATTCTTTCTGTGTGAGCCACAAGGATAAGAAACATGTTGTCATTCGAGACTCCGTGCCCTCACAGCTGAGATGGACAGGGAGCAGCATCAGCTTCTATCGCATGCATCTTGTAAATGAACGTGTGGCTCTCAGCTACATTTGAGTGCCCTGTGCTTTTAAAGCACAGCAGAAAAAGACAAGACTGTATGCACAACCACAAGAACAGTTAACCCCCTGAAATGATGCCTGGCCCATGGTAGGCATTTACTCAAAGTCTGAGTGCTGAGGAAAAGTGCTAATCAGCTCCATAAAGATGACAGCATGAGGAGAGTGCAGGGTGTGTGTATGTTGTGTGTATTTGCTGTTAAATGCCATCAGGGAAGAGGGAGAGCTGGGTTTTAGGCCATGCAAAGGGCACGATGTCTACATATGCTCTAGTGATACTCAAACAGAACACAAACCACTTCACTATGACCCACAATAAGAAATATGCAAATCCAGTCATGGAAGGAGTCAAAACTGTCAAAAAGACTTAGCTGCTCGCCCCCAAGTGCATCTATTTATCATGACTTAGTCATTAAAAAAGCACAGATATCTTTGAGGCCACAGAAGGCAGAACTACAGCTTACCTAAAAAAGGCGTCAGATGCCTGCACATGTGCACAGCTTTTAACAGTTAGTTACTAATTCAGAAAGCAGCACCGAGACCCCTGTGCCACCAGAACACTGGGCTGACTTAAAATCACCCTTGCACTAATGTGTGGAATAGACGTTTCCTCTCTCTGATCTATACAGAGAGCTGTGCTCTGGAGAGCTTTGCAGAGAGACAGATGAAGGGTATGATATGTTTACTTACATTATGGAAAGCATAGCAAAAAGGAGTTAAAAAACAGAACTTAGAAACTTCAACAATCTGAAAAATGTACCAGTAGTAAAAACAGCAACAGCATTTCCAGAGTATACTGTTTGCTATATATTTTCTGCCTCATGTTCCGTCTAATATTTTGAATCACATAAAATAGAATTGGTTTTCTGTTCCTTGAAATAAAATTCCTAAAAATAAAGAAAAAGAAAAATTGAGCACTTCCTATGGTGTTTCAGAATAGTGGGCTGGTGGGGAGGCAGTTAACATCAAGTCACAACTGTCCAAATCACAGAGCAGGCAGTTTTGTGTTACACTGAAACACAAGCATTGTTAGTGACCTGCCTGTGCTTTAAGAGCCCCATTTGCGATAGGAGCACATGGAGAGCTCATGTCTTTGTCCTGTGTGGCCCAACATAACCAGGGAACAGCAGCAAACTGATGAGGCAGCAGCATAATGGAGGTGAGGGAGGGTAAACCCTCAGCGCCCACAGTGGCGCCTGCACTTGCTGGGTATTCATCGCTCCAGGAGCCACGTGCTGTGAGGGCCAGAAAACACAGGACAGGAATAAGATCACGAGGGTATGCCCTGAGAAGCTTCCTGCTGAAATTCTTGTATTTGGGTTTTGAAATTACGTCAATAGACAACACTGGGTCAAGAAGAAAGTTCAGAGAGAAATGACACCAACAGACATCACTGGGGAAGAAGAAAGTTCAGAAAGCACACTAGAGGCTTGATCTGAATAAGCCAGACTGTCAGATTCTCAAAAGTTCCACAATTTTTCAGTTTTCTGTTTCAGCAAGTATAATAACCACTGAAGGTAGGGTTTGCCTTTCTTTGGACTGAAACTAAAAATTACACTTAGAATGATAGACAGGCACATACCTGAGAAGAGGGGGCCAAGCTTCTGATCACAAAATCAGGAAAGAGTCAAGCTCCTGCTTGTTTCAAGTGTGATTCTAAAACTACCCCCACATGCCCAGACGTGGTAAGAGTCTGCTGAGAATCTAGGTGACCTAGGTGACCTACATTTCAGAAGATCCAGCTGTGCATAGTCATTCTCTTTCTTGCAGTGAAGCTAACGTAAAGTACTTACAAACAGATCTGTGTCTCACATCACAGCAGCATGAACGGGCCTGGAGGACACTGTGGACTTACATAGGATCTTCCTTATACACAGGAGCTAAAGCTGTTTTTCTCACACGGGTGGCCTAGTGGATGTTAGAACTCGGGCAGGCAGGGGGAGGGAGGGATGTGGAGAAGACTGGCAATAGCAAAGGGGATATTAGAGACAACAACTCCTGAATGTGGCAGGGAAGCAGAGGTAGCAACAGCAGAGAGGATGGAAGTGACACATAGCTGATTTGATTATCACACATTATATACACGTGGCAAAAAATGTACAAACACTATGTACCTGTTTAAAAAAAAGAACACAACTGAATCCTTGTAGAGGTTCCAAAACAAACGGAAGAGAGTAAGTTCTGGAAGGGGCTAGAAATCCACACAATGGAAAAGTTATTTCAGCTGCTCCCCCAAAAAGTCACTATTAGAATTTAGTACAAGAGACAGAACGCGTGAACCAAAGGGCTTCCTCCTACAAAGCCCATTCAGATTTCCAGGTTCAAACATACAAGTCCTAATGAAACAAGGATAAAATAAGCCTGTAATCCTATCAAGAACTAATTTCACTATAGTCCCAATTACCAATTCTCCACTCCCAGAAAGAAAAAATAAAATTAAAAGCAAAATTAAAATTTGGTTTGACCTCACTTGATCAGA